GATTGTCATTAATATGTGGACTCATATATACCAAAAAAAAGAAGCAAACAAAATATAAACAACAACAAAAAAGTAGGGGAAAAAAATTACACACATTGGCAAGAAAACATGTGGCTTTGTTACTCGTATGCGTATACATGTGGCATTTGGGCTTAACGGCACATAGCGTATCAGAAATCTAACACAAGAAGTTTACGCTTAACACAGCTTCCCACGTTGATTGTGTGTGTGTGTGTGTGTGTCTGTCTGTCTGCTTGTCTGTCAGGCTGTTCCTTCGCTATCTGTCTTTTAAATATTTCTAAGGATATGCAGCTGCATTTTTTTTGTTTTTGTGTTTTGATATGACGTGCAGTTGGAGAGGACATTTCGGCGTTTGGTTTTATGCTTTATGACACGTTTGCATATGAATAACCTGATACGTATGCCTTGTTACTTTTTGTAGGTGTGTGTGTACATGTTCATGTTTGTCTGTATATGTGGTTGTGTGAAGTACTGTGCTTGAACGGAAGCCTTTTATTTATGATTTTATTTTGTTTTCAATTCTTTTTGTGCTTTCTTTATATTTATTTTTTTTTTTGGAATTCTTTTTATTAATTTTTGGTTTTTTATATTTGGTCACACATCAAAAACACAACACTTGTTTAAGTAAATAAATACAGGGTGTTTTAAGAAACGAATTTAAATATTTTTAAAATCATTAAATAAATTAATTGAGTCCTATGATGAAAATATGATATTGCATATAAGTCTTAAATATTGATGTTTTATTAAATTGATTTATATCAACTAAGAGTACAAATAAGTCCAATCACATTATAACGTATGACCGGTGTGTCAAATGCGTTTTCATTACATGACAAGAATCCGAATATGAATTCATATAACTATCCGTTTTCATTATACTGACAATATTTGACATTAAAAATGACATAGTGAAAACGAGGCATAATATGTATGTTAGGGATATCTTATGATAGCCATGTTAGAGCTATGTTATAGTACGTTGTTGTCATTGTAGTTGTTTTCATTACAAATTAAAAAATTAAAAATAAGAAATTTCAATTAAAATTTGGTCGTCGTCAAGCGAGAACATTGTAACATAATATTAATTTATTCGAATACTATAAATAACAAATGAAATTACTTATGTTCTAGCTTAGACTTTGATATCAGCTTTGGCACTAGAACTCCCTAACAGGTTAAAAATACACAGGAGCTGCAATCTATTTCTAAGGATTTAAGGATTTGTAAATCCCACAGCATTTGTGACTCTTCCTCAATATTTCAAGATGAAATCTGTGCCATCCTGAAAGCATTTTATTACTGCGAGCATGAGTTTTCAACAAAAAGTAGTTTTAATATTCAGTGTTAGCCAGGGAGATGTTGAAGCTATTTCAGCAGTCTGCATCTCGTTTAGAATAGTTCACGAATGTAAACGATTTATTAACATACTAGGCAGTAGCGCCAAAGTAACTCTAGTTTGAATTCCTGGACATTCGCATATAGCTGGAAATCAGTGCTCAGATAAGTTAGAAAAAGTAAGTCCAAGGTCATGTTATGGGACTGATGGATACGGATTGAGCTCATATTTCCTTAGAATTCAGGTCAAGAGCTACATACATACCATTGAATAGATATTTTTTTAATATATGTCAAAATATTTTAATTATATTATAAATACATATATATATTTTATATTATATATCACACAATGTAAACTCAGGAATTGCAATTATTTAATTCAAACAAAATATAGATGTAAGATTATAAAATACATAGTGATATAATAATATTGAGATATTTTTCTAAATAAGATATTAAATTTTCTTTTACTTGTCCTTAATGCACTCAGTAACTTATATCACCTAATAAGATTTGCGTTTTTAATGCTTTTATTAATATTAATTTTATATTATGTTTACACTTTACAATTAGCGAACTACAATTACCAACAAATTTAGATATAAGAATTTTCTGTTGTGAAATTAATTAATTAAAAAATGATTAAATTAATATATACAATGAATTACATTGATTTTATGTTAGAAGCTCCATCCTGACTTGAGAGTCGAGAGTGTGCAAAAGTACAACAAAGACAAAGTTGCACTGTCTTAAAACAAATGCAATATATGTTCCATTAGGAAGTTATGATGGACTTTCTGATAATGAGCTTAAGCTTGATAATAACTCATTATCATAACTTAATGAAACATTTGCTACAGACACTATTCAGTTAAAGTGTTTTAGACACCAATTCGTGTTTTATGAAATAATGAAGAAAAAGAATAATTTTTATCCATTTGCATTTCTAAAAATTTGTTGTTTGTTTTGTTTTTGTCATCTTATTTTTCCCTTTTTTTTATTTTTTTTCGGTAAGTGTTGAGCATCGACTGCCACAGAGAAATTTTTAACCCACTTGAACTATGTCCTAGGAATCCAAAATCGACTTATTTCATATATTGATGACTGTATTCTAGAAAATCAAAATTAGCAAATTTGATCTATTGGAGCGTAAAGATTAAAAGCTCTATAACTATGCTACACTAATCAAGGGAAATACAGATATTAGAATACAGAGGACTTTGTATTTAGACAACAACTACATCTAAACCAACTTTTACCAAGGCGTGCATTGTTGGCATTGTTTTGACTTAATTACATATAATACTTTTGTATGGAAAACGTGACTAATATTCAGATATTTGCTAGTTGAGATTTGCTAATTGAATATATTATTAGAAATGATAGATGTTCCGAGTATATAAGCCTGTTTATAAAAATTTATGGGATTAATCGCTTGTTTTGATCAGCATATATGTATATTTAGGGTGCAATGGAGATTATGGAACACGCTGTATATAAAATGAAGCACTTGAAATGTAACAAAAATCCTTATTTAATTTCATGCAGACTTTGTTAAAAAAAAAAAAATTAAAAAATGACTCAAAACAAAAGAGAATCAAATAATTTGGCCCAAAGTCCTCGGTAAAATGTTGCTCGCACAATCTTTTAAGTATCAGCCTAAAAGTGTGGCCTGTTGTTGTTGTTGCTGTGTTGTGTTGTGTTGTTGATGACGTTTATTTGCGGTGCATGTGTCATCATCAACGTCAACATAACTGTTATCGTCGACAACAATTTTCGCTTTCCGACCACCGCAAAAGTCAAGCAGTAATGCTGCCGTTTATGAATTACGTACCAAATGAGGACAACAACATCGAAGCGATGCTGCTGCTGCTGCCACTGCTGCCACTGATACGAAATTAGTGTTGCATATGTGTTTGCTGATTGTTGTAGTCATAGCGCTGTTGTTGTTGTTGCAAATTGTTGTTGTTCATATGAAGTTTTTTTTTTGTTTTGTTTTGTTATATTTTTCTGTTCGCTTCTATTTCTGCTTTAACTTATTTTATTTTTGAGATTTTTATTCATCAGCAAAAGAGCTTTCGTAGCAATATTAACTAAAACAGCAAAACAGTTGAGTTATGGCAAGAACAGTGGCAAGAACAGAAAGGACGGAGGCAGAGACAGAAATATTACTCCATTTGCATCATGATTTGTGTATGTTTCATCTTTATGCCTACTACCACCTACACCTACACACTTACACATACACACCATCCTTCCTTTGGTCTCAGCAATTAAGCACACATAAATTTACTCGGCTGCAGAAATTCATTCATGTTCGTTTTTTAACTCATTCATTTGCCTACTAACGTCCCTGTCTTATTAACAAACTCGTAGGCTTAGTGTTGGTAGGCAGCAGTGGCAACCGCAGCCGTTGCAGCTTTTGTTGTTGCAATGGTGTGTGTTTAACATGAATTGGTGTCGTTGGTATCGCTTACATTGCAACGCGTTTACATATACCCTCATATCTCCTCATCCACAATACTGGATAAGAAGAAAAAAAATTATATTTCTATATGTATATATAGTGGAGTATATGTGCTCTCTCATATTGCGCCTTCCTCGAGGAGTTGTTGGTAACAGCGTTGTCAGGCTTCCACACAGTTTGTTGGCGTGCACTGCATACTTTGGTTGCGTTTTTTCCGTGCAAGTGCGGCAAGTATTGTAACGTTACGTTTCGCATTGCTTTGCTTCGTTTAAGTTTGGTTGCATATGGAAAAAGTTGTTATTATTTTTTATAAATCTTTTCATTTTTGTATTCACATATTAGTGCTTACATTGTTACTGCCACATGCCAGATGCATCAACCTGCAATCAAGTTGTCTTCAAGTTTTGATTTATATGTCAGTTGTCGTGTGATTGCTGGGCAAACGTTTTCGTTTGTTGGTCCTGCGGCCAAAAGATTTTCTGTTCATTTTTTTTGTTACGGTGTGTTCAGTGCGGTGTTGTGGCCTTAAATTGTAATTTTACGCTTCGACAATTTGCGCCGGTTACTGTTTACTGCTGATCACTTTATGCCGCTTTGTGAAATAAAACAAATAAACAAATAAAAAGAAAATTAAAGATTCACAGGATTCGTTGTCCATTTCCTGTTTCATATTGCGATACGTGGATCATTTTTGAAGTACCTTTAGCGCCAACAAAATTTGTGGTATTCTCACAGAGTTCAACGATATTAATAGTGTGTGCTTGAGTGAGAATTTTTGGTGTTACTTCATATTCATTTCTGCTATACTTTTGGCGCGTAAATTTTTATTTTTTTTCCGGTACAAATAGCACCATCAGAAGAAAAAGTGATATATGAATTTGTGTCCTCCTGACTTCAAATTGTGTGTAAAGCAATTTGATTGTGTTTTTATGTGTCAATGAGTTTTGTCAATTTAATCTAAGGGCAAAAATAATTACCTTAATTCAACAATACTTCTATTATCTGATAGT